AGAGAGAGAGAGAGAGAGAGAGAGAGAGAGAGAGAGAGAGAGAGAGAGAGAGAGAGAGAGAGAGAGAGAGAGAGAGGAGGAAAAGGAGGGAGGAAAGGTGTGACCTTCCTCCCGGATACCTGATGCGGTAGCTATGGCGCTGCTAGGCTGGCGCTGGGCCGCGGGCTGGGCCTGTGGCTGGCGCTGCTCCAGCTGCTGCGCTAATTCCTCCTTGCCTGCTAACGCTGAAACGCTGCGCTAGTCCTGCTAACGCTGAAGCGCTGCGCTAATCCTGAAGACTAACGTCCGCACTACTAACCTACCGACTGAGGCTGGTACCCAGCTGATACAGTGCTGGGTCGGCCTCAGTCCTACTGAGGGCCTTCGGGTCTGGACCGTTGATCAGGCCCAACGGTTCAGATCCGATTTTGAATCTGAAGAGTGGCGCCTAAACTGCGCCGCCGGCCGGTCCTACCGATGGACCTGTATCTGGCCTAACTAGCCGTTGGGTCTGGTGGGGTCTGGTGGGGTCCAAACGAGGCCTACTGGACCCTGGACTGAACCGACGGTTCCTAGGCCTACCTGGACCTAACTGGGACCGTCGTGACCCGGTAACTAGGCCTACCCGTGCCTACTATGGAACCGGGCCCTAACTGGGGCCCGTGTGGTATCAGTATTCCACATTCAGACGATCATATAATACATGATACATATACATTTAGAAAAGTCCTAGTGTGAGTATGCCCCGAGTCGTTCCCCTTCCTAATGTCACATGCACAAAAGTTGGTCAGTATAACCCTTGTTCATACATATGCTGACCCTTTTTTTTTTCTTTTTTTTTTGTAACAAACATGTGCCGAAACCTAAAGCAACAGACATTCAGAAAACAAAAAGAAAAAGAAACGGAACAGATTAAACAGACAGTACCAAACGTGTTCGGGGGAACCCAGTGGTCAGTGCACCGGGGGCGAAGGGCATACACTGGGACTTTTTCTTCTAAGCCCCCCTGGACGCAATCGCGGTTCGATTCATCCACGTCTCGCGGTAATAGCAGTCAGATACATTTACGACAATTACTACTGTGAGAATGCCTGAAGGTATGCATTCGTTTCCCACCATATTTTTGTTTTTGGCAAGCGCGAATTTTGAGATTTCTTCTTGATTTTTCTGACATTATTCTTTGACATATTGGCAGCTGGTCTACATTCATGATCCATCCGAACAACGTTTACTATTTTTAAATTTTGTAAATTTTTTATCAAAAGGAATGAGCAGCCAGTATGCCGAGCCAGTCCGTGGCCACGACAGGCCTCCATCCCCGCCTGGGGCAGACGCAGATCAGACCACCCCTGTTTTGAACTTTCTAGTAACTTTCTAGTAACTTTCTAGTAACTTTCTAGTAACTTTTTACCCTAACCTCTTTTTTTGTTAGAAGGGCGGCGGCCTTGAGATATCATTGTGGAACAGACTGGCCCCAGGTAATTCAAGAATTTCATTCCTGTAGTTCCGTCTGGATTCGAACTCCGGTCCGTATTTCAACAGTTCATGGGTGTACCAACGGGGCTATACCAACTGCGCTATAGCTCCGTTGGTACTGTTTCCCCTAACCCGGGGTTCCATTTTGGCGAGCCTGTGACTTTGACCAGGCATCGACGTGGCCAATCTCCGGCCTAGCCAGCGGTAACGCACGCTCGTGGCGACAGTATCAGTCCGGGACCACGAGGGTGTGTTCTGCCCGCGGGCAGAACGCACCCGATCGTAGTTTCTAACTTTGTAGCATGAGGGTTGTTGCGCTCAGGGAGATTTGAACCTGAGACCTCGCCCAAATGTGAAGCCAAAAAAAAAAGTGTGCTCTATTCGGGGAAAGACAAATGATAGCCCGAGTTCCATCCTTCCAGATTTGATCCACTATCTGACAGCTGGTGGCGGTGTGTGCACTTTTTTCTTTTCTTTTCTGCTTCTACCACAGGCTTACACTGGCCCCACTACCAGACCCAGCTGCATTCCCTGTGCATACTGTGGTGATCTGCGGAAGGCGTTGGCTTAAATCGTCCATATGGCCGACCCTAAACTGCCAAATCTTTCTATTTTGTGCCGAATCGACTCGTTCCCACCCCACCACGCCGGTACTTGTGTACCACCAGAAGTTTACTGGTGGTACAAAGCTTTGCTCCACCGGGGTGGTTTGGGAACTTTCCTCAAAGTATCAACGCTTCACTGGCAAGGACTGTTTCTTAGACTTACGGAGTTCGCTCCTGAATCCGCGCGCAATTCAGTTTAGAAAGTTCGACCACGTATGGCAGCGGCTCGGGTCACAGATTCCTTACCTTTTTTTTCTTTTTTTTTGTTTAATTCTTGTGCTTCGTCGTCACCATACCCCTCTTCTTCCTCGTCTCCTTCCTCTTCCTACCACTACTCTTCTCTCTCCTCCTTGCCCTCTTCCCCTCCTACATCCTCCTCCTCCTCCTCCTCCTCCTCCTCCTACATCCTCCTCCTACTACATCCTCCACCTCCTCCCCTTCTGATCCCCATCTGCTCTAAGCTGACATGGCATCAGCTGTAGTCCAGACAGTTGCCACATCAGACCCAAGCTGACGTGGCAGCAGCTTGGATCACAGCTGATCCAAGATACTGATGATGATGATGATGATGATGATTCCAGAATCCAGATACTGCTTTTTTTTTTTTTTCCTTCTCCCGCCGTCGTACTCCACGTAAGATCCCCAGTGATCCAAGCTGACGTTGCAGCAGCTACGAGCCAATCTGCTGCCACGTCACATCGAATCTGTTATCCAAGCCGCTGCTACGTCAGCTTGGATCACATGGGGATGCTAGACGGAGGACGACGCAGAGGGCTCAAAACAACTTGCCCGTGATCCGCGAGACACAACTCCTACCTTTGCTCAGCAGTATCCGTACTACCGTCTTCACCCGAATAGAACGCCCGGTCATTATAGCCGTATCTGGACTGAAAATTGCACCGAATATGGCTATAACGACCAGGCATTCTATTCAGGTGAAGATGGTAGCTCTCCTGCCTCTCCATGTGAACAGTGTTATGTTCGCTCTCTCTTGGTCCTCCACCAGTGTTCTGTACTCTTGCCCCCCCCCCCTCCTCCTCGTCCTCCTCTTCGTCCACCAAGGTGGCACGTCATCAACATTGAGCAGGAAACATAAACTTAGCTCCCCAACGGCCAGGTCATCACACTCCTGCTGCCCGAAGCGGAGTTCCCCGACGGAAGCACAAGATGATGATGGCGATGATGATGATGATGATGATGATGACGATGATGACGACTCATGCATCCACTTGGTCGACCTCCTACCTACTGCTCTTCCTCCTCTCCAATTTGCACCACTGGGCTGCCCAAATGGCCTGTCTGAGTGGGGCCCCATGCCAGGTATCCCGAGCGGGTTCGGTACTGGTCCGACCCAGTCCAGGCGGCCCGGCTGGTAACACAGGTATAAACTTTAAGGGACTATATACTTTATCAATTGGAACAGAAATATAAATAAATGGTGACTACTGAGTAAAAGATACTATAAATAAAAATTATAAAATCAAAGACATAAAAGAATTCAATACAGCAAAGAGCTGCAGAGAGAATGCTTTGCGCAAGACCATAACAGCTCAAGATTACCAAAAGAAAAAAAAAAAAAGTCTAGAGTTGATGATAGGTCCCAAGGGCAGCCTCTCTCTCTTTTCCGTCCGATCTCCCCCTCTGCTTGTCTCAAATTCTTTCAACAACTGTGCTTGCCGGTGATGAGCAACCGGACTGATGCCCAACAGAACAGAAGGCGTTTTTCAAAAAGAAAAAAAAAAAATGAAAAAAAAGAAAAAAAAGAAAAAAAGAAAAAAAGAAAAAAAGGAAAAAAAAGAAAAAAAAGAAAAAAAAAGATGATGATAGGTCACAGGACAGAGTGCACCGTACCCACCTGCTGGCGCGATACTTTATTTGCTTTCCCTTCCCGTCCTAGATCAACATCAACTGCGTAATCAAGTGTTGCTCGCCCCAGCGATATCTGCGCACCACAAAAACGACACAATTATCTTCTCAGACCCATAGCGTTACCCCCCCAAAAAAAAGAAAAAAAAAGAAAAAAAAGGAAAAAAAGAAGAAAAAAAACTAGTACCTATACCTGAATATGTCTTCTGCAGTTGCCAGCACAGCGCAGTAAGGGCTTTGAATAGACTCCATTAAAGTCATCAATTAAACCACCAGTACCCCTCTGCAGCAAATGAATACAGACCCTCGCGGCACACTGATTCATCCACCGTGTTAATGCCTAAACTCGCGGTAGGTATTGGTGTTTTAACTTTTAAGTTTTAACCAAGGAAAAAAAAAAAAAACAGCATTGGCCATATGTGCCTGCATGACTCTGACCGAGTCTGGCTTTGCAGCCACAGTAAAAGGCTTATGATTGATCATTGACTGTGCAAGGAATATGAGTGTGAGCGATATACATAAAACCAAGTTGCGAAATCACACAGCTGAGCAAGTAGTAGTATCCCAAGTAGAGAGTACAAGTGCACCGAGAAAACCATCCATAAAGAGCAATACAATGAAGTATTGAGCCAATGTCCAAGCCCGTAGGCCACACCAACACAGTATCCAGAGTCGCTCTCTCTGTCTGGCGCACAGCGCCCAGCCTACTCTACCATACTATCCTGCTCTACAGCTGGTTCACACAACAGGATCACTTCGGCTCACGGAGACCAATGTACATGACTGTCCACACCATCGGCGACCTCTCTTCATGTACCAGGTACGTATCTCGTCACCCTCAATCAGACCTTGATTACCCCACACAGCGCCTCACTCCCTGAAGATCACCCGATCATCCGCTGTACCCCCTGGCGCCTAGCAGCCTGGCTATGGCCGCCTGCGCCCAGCTGCCCTGCAGCGCCCCACCTCACCTCCCGCGCCCCGTCAGCGCCCTTGGCAGCAGCGCAGCATCAAGCGAGAGCGCAGCAGCACTTCCGCATTGCCAGCGCTGGCCAGAATGCCTGGCCTGGGCTGCCTCACTTCCTTTATGGAAGTGGCAGCCTGCTGCATGCTGCGTGTGGCCTGGCTGGAAGCTTCCAGTAGCTTCCGGTTGGGCCTCAGACCCTGTGCCCAGGCCGAGACTGACAGTTGAGGGCCTGGGCCCTTTACAGTTGGGCGCGGCCTGAGTCTCCGGACTTGGGCTGTTAGCTGCATCGGCGCAGGGCCCCCAGGTAGGTGCGTCGGCTGTACTGCATTTCCAGAGGCCGACGGCCTGCTTCTCAATGTATCGGCCCTGCTTTGTGTGTAAGTGCCCAGGCACAACTTTCGTGGCCTGGGTCAACTGTACGGTGCAGCTTAGTGAGGCTCGCGCGTTCATTCAACCAACTGACGCGCTGCAAGAGCCTGAATACCCACATATGGAAATGTCGAATTTGACCTGTGACGAATATTCAGGCCCGCCTTCACTTAGGGCGGGCACTTGGCTTGCTGGGGCCTTGGGCCAGAACAATGTGATGTCTGAAAGGGCCTCTTGAGGGCTTGTTCCTCACAACTGTCTTAAAATTAATGAATTTAAAATATTACTATTACTTGACGACCTGTTGCAGCTACGCCCGCAGTAACGAAGGAATGTTTGCCAAAAAAAACAAAGAAGTTCGACTCTCTCTCTCTCTCTCTCTCTCTCTCTCTCTCTCTCTCTCTCTCTCTCTCTCTCTCTC